TGTGAGATCCGGCCATGAATGGTGTGAATGGGTTTTAATGTTTTAATTTTTAAATGTTTTTATAATGGTTTTTTTAAAAAAATGCATTGTAAGCCGCCCTGAGTCTCCGGAGAAAGGCGGCATATAAATTGAACTAATAAATAAATAAATAAATAAATGGGAAATGTAGTCAAAGCCATCTAGAGCAGGGGTATCAAACTCAAGGCCTGGGGGCCAGATCCAGCCCACAGGGTGCTTAGATCTGGCCCGCAGTGCCTCTGCCAGCAAAAATGGCACTTGGGAAGGCTGCAAGTGGCCCTCCCAAGCTCCAGTTTCACTGGCAGAGGGTTGCAGGAGACAGTCACAGCCGAAAATGGAGCTCGCAAGTCCATTTTTGCTGGCAGAGCACTTAGCCACCACAGGCACCGATACGGGTGACGTTGAGCTGGCCACGCCCACCAGCCACACCCACCCCAGCCCCCCAAGGTCAAACACAACTCTGATGCGGCCCTCTCAATGAAATTGATTTTGACACCCCTGAATTAGAGGATATTGTATTAATTATTATAAATATCCTACATGTGGGAAATTGCTAAGAAGTCTTTGTAAATATTGTGATCTGCTTCTGTCTCTTTAACAGTTTCCATAATGTTATCTTTTTATAATGATAGATGGATGGATGGATATATATATATATATACCTGTTTTGTTTGTATTTTATCTCTGGTTTTATGACTGTAATAAACTTTGATAGACTTAAGACTTTCCATTACCCTTATATAAAGATTTATTTATATAACTCACATTTGGAGTAATAGGAAATCTGAGTTACAAGAGTTCAGGGCAAGACATGGGGAATGAAAATAAGGTGAGGTTACCTATCAAACCTGTCGGAACATGTGAAAAAAACCCCTTCCTTTGCAGAGAAAATTAAAAAGGGCAATATCCCCTTTTTGAAGTATTGTACATTGTAGCCAAGCTTCTTTCTTACCTCATCAGTTGTTTCTGTTGGAGTTTTGCAAGGAGCCGGTGGTATTGTACCTCCCATGCTTTATAATCAAAAGGAAAAACACCAATTAAAGACACCATTAAATATAAATATAAACACTTTGGTTTAAGTTAAATAAAGCAATATATGGAATCCATAATAACTTGTAGCAAAACCTGTTTATGAGCTCAAGAATTAGCAGGGCAAAATTTTTTTTTTTGCTTTGGAAATATTGGATCTAGTTAGTTTTCTAAACTATTTTTCAGGAATGCTTTAAACTTCAATATTAAATTTTTAGGACAGAGATCTTCCCACTTTGAGAATAAATTACACTATCATTTGCAGCCTTCTGATCTAAGAAATATGAAACAAATATTTAGGGATGTTTAAGAGGATCCTATTCTAAGCCTAACTTTCATAATATAGGGATAATTATTGTGAGCACAGAAAGTTATTCTCTTTAAAAGTGTTTAATTCTGAACTATAGAGTACATAATAGGGGGAAATACTATTAAAGAAAAATAAAATGCACATCAATCCAAAGTACTTTTCTAAAGCAAAGGGTGCTGATGCTCAAATACACATTTAGATCATCATCATCTAGAACAGGGGCATCAAACTGGCGGCCAAATAAATCTGTTGGCCAGATAAATCATGTGCAGGCCACACCTACCCCAGCTCCGTGAAGGGGAGAAACGTCACGATACATCACATGACAGCAACGTTGTGCCAAGTTTGACACCGGTGATCTAGAATCACTGTTTATATTTTATGAATATTTTCTAAAATGAAAAGATTTGCTGTACTGCATTTTCCTTTCCCTTTAAAAATATTGTATCTTAAAAATGGTGTTCAATTCAAATATAGCAACTTTTGTTTCAAGACAATTTTAGGAAAATTATTACAAGTGCAAATATGTAGTATAAATCTTTAAGTGATAAAGATAAACTTTCATAAATATATTCATATTTATGGCTTATTTATATGCTAAATGAGGCATATTTAAGACTGATCACTGGAAACTGGAATCTACAAAGGGCTAATTGATAATCCACTAATTCAGAATTATCTCACAATCTGCCCCAAAATCTTAAATCATGGTTGTCCAACCTTTTGGCTTGCATTGAGTGAAGAGGAATTGTCTTGGGCCACATATAAAATATATAATATAATTAAGTTATATAAACAAAATTTTTATTTTTATTATCTTGTAGGGCCATATTACTAGCTGTCCAGGGGTACAGGTTGGATCCACCTATGTTCAACGATTTAGATTTGTTTTCTACTATTCAGCACCTTTCGGAATGTTGCTCCAGTCATGATGGTTAGAGATTACACCACTAAAACCCAATAAATCTAGAAGATCCTAGATGGGAAAGGCTGAACTAGCTTCATCACTTTATCTACAGCCATAAATATAATGGAAAGCCTCATCTACAGCATGGCTCCTCAATGCCACTTTGAAATCAATGTTTTGCAATGTCGTGGGGCCATTAAAGTACAGATCGGCTGCTCCATTTTTTTTGTAGAACCAACATTACTTTATGAGGTTTGTTACTAGAATATGAAAATGTCCTTGAGAGAGTCTGACTGCTCTCAAGCTACATATGAGACAACTAAGAGATAAGAATCCTGCTGCAGCAGGCTGTAAATCCAATATTCTATGTCGTACAGAAGTGAACTGCAAAGTTCATAAATCTAAACTGAAGTGATGGCATTCTCTGACAGTCATGACTGACTTCCAGCAATCGGTATATAAGCCATGTAGACTACGATTCAGGAGATAGAACAACCGGCAGTGTTAATGGCCACTAATAGCATGATCCTCCATGAATTCATCCAGTGTTCTATTAAAACTATGCAAATTGTCATTACCATAAATACCAGCACTGAATTCTACAGTCTTTCCTCACAGAGGAGCTATTCTAACCCCTTAGTTACTGTCAAAGAACAAATTGGCATTTTGAAAAAGTGGCTGCATAAAGTAAAATGGGTAAACCAGCAAGGGCTTTAAGCAGAGCACCTTTATAGCTGTGAGGAAGCTCATTTCCAAAGCATTATAGATAGCTTTTGACTTACGGCCATTTGTTTAATGAACAAAATTAAAATGGCATTGAAAAAGTAGCTTATGACCCACTCAGCATTCCCATGCTCATGCAATCAAAATTCAGGTGAATGGCAACTGGCATGTCCATGGTTGCAGAGTCCCAAGGTATCTGGGATTGCCATCTGCAACTTTCCCAGCATATTTCTAACAAGCAAAATGAATGGGGGAAGCCAGATTCCCTTAACCACATGATTTGCTTCATGACCATGGCTTAAAAAGGTTATAATATTGGCCACAACTCAACCTCATTGCTTAGTGACAGAAGTTATGGGCTTAATTTTGATCATAAATTGGGAATTATAGAGCATTTGACCCCTAAATTCTTTACTAGGCTTTAGTAAAGGTTTTATTGCTTATGATGGAGTACATAATTTGAGAAAACCACTTTCTTTTCACATAAAAAAAATAAGTCTTCTAAACTTAAGCAACTTTAAAGTCGTCTTCATCACAGAGAAAGGATTTAAGAACAGGATTTAAGAAAAAACAAAGAAATGTACTTGTCACTTATGATACCAGTTTGTTGTGTGAACATATTCCGTAATAATCACATCTATAGCTCCAGCAACTGATTCGCAAGACCGATATAATTTTGCATATAGATACGATACAGAAAGCTTTTAAAATATCCTTTCCTTCATATGAAGTATTACTTATCAGGCAAACAATTTCAGTTCTAAAACTAGGCAAGTTAAATAACACGGAAGATAACTGCGAATCTTAAACCTTCCTAGATTTTTTTGGGGGGTGTGGTGTGGTGTGAGAGTTGAGTAACCGATCAGAGAGGCCAGGTTTCAATGATACGACTAGGCCTTGCCACGAAAAGCTCAGTACTCCATTCCCCATGTCGCCTCTGATTTGCTTCGGAGGCAAATTAAAGGCGTCAAATCAATAAAACCCTTCAACCTCTAAAATGTACAAGTACTTAACAAGTATTAGTAAACTGTCTGTAATCCAGCCGCCCTTGTTTCTCAAGTTCTACAGGCGATCCCACGAGAGGCAAAAATTCACGCCGCCCCTTTAAAGGGAGATCAAAGCAATTTAGCCCCCAGAGATTCACCCTCTCGGGACCGGCTCCAACAACTTTAACTACGGGGCTGGAGTGGGGGAGGGGGGCAGGAAGGGAGGAGGGAACCGAAGGGGCAGCAATCAAAGAAGCGGGCGTAAGTCCCGGAGCTCCACCTGCTTTTCGCTCGGGCTCCCCCGGTAGAGCAGCTCCATGCTTACCTCTCTATCCAGTCGCGGAAGAAGGTCAGATCTTCGGAGTGCAAGATGGCAGAATTCTGCTTGCAAAGTTGCACGAAGGTCCGCAGCTCAGTTAACTTCTGCGGGTCCATGGCCAGCCCTCCTCTTGCCCCGCCGCGCTCGCTGCTCCCACCGCTACGGCTTCTCTCCGGGAGGAACAACCGGAACTCCCAACCTGCTCCCCCCTCAAGCAGGCCTTGCCCGTCACGTGCCGCACAGTGCAACGGCTCCCCCACGCCCTCTGGCAACCTTCCCGTGGGGGGGGAGCTACTCCCGCTCTTGCCGCTCTACTCTCCCCGCGCCGCCGAAGCTCCTCCCCTCCTACCCCGCCTTCTCACGAACCGCCCCTATTGCCCCAGTTTTGGCAGCGGGGTCCAGAATCTTCTAGAAATGAAAGTGGAGTTGCCCTCGGGATTGCCTCTTTCCGTTGCCGTTGGATTCACGCTTTTCTCCTTCGATTCAGTCCATGAGAGGATGCCAGTTAAAGTCATAGCAATGCATTCACCGGCTCTGGTGCTTTCTTAACCTCGACGGTGGGAAGAGGGCGCCAATGAAGCACTTTTAAGAAGTAGGCATTTCTGCAGTCGCCTAAAATATAATGACTAGTCACTCGCCGAAACTCAAGCGGCGAAATACAAAGTAGCTGGTTACGATTGATGGTGACGTCATTATGTGCCGACCCGGGGGAAGCAAGGTCCTTCAAACGTGCGAACTCAAATCGAGCTTTAGTGTAGCTGGCCATGGTTCAGGGCTGGGGATCAGGAAAGAGAACTTTAGAGCGAAGTGGAGGAAGATCAGGACTTGGGGCGTTGCGATTTCTTCCGAGATCGCCCCGTAGTGTTGATTACTCTTCTTACAGGCAGGGAGCTCAGCTATGGTGTGGTTGCCAGCTCAGAGACTTATCCAACCTGTAAGGGTCAAATGCAACTTTTCAGGTCAGAGACTTAATTTGATTATACATAAGAGAACAATTCTAAAATTGTGGGCGAAAGCTAGTTATTTTAGGTACCCCCTCCGCTTTGTATATATTTTTTTAAAAATATACAATAAAAGAAGTTTTTACTGTCTCAGTTTCACACTATGATACTTGTAGCTGATTTCGTGCTAATGTAAAAAAATAATACTCTGAAGACCACGATAGTAGTATGGAAATATCTTATTAAAGAAACGTTTCTTCTGTTTAAAATAGAAGTTTCAAAAACTGGTCAATTTAGATTTCAAAATTGCTAACAAAATATTACCAGATCCTTAATTAAGATGTTTCAATCTCAATAAAGAGGAGAGAAAAAAGATGGTTGTACATTTCCCACTGGGAATCAATGGGATTGGTTCAGCTGAAATACACCTTCACATACCTTGTGAAGTGTATTATGAAATAAGATATAACAATCCCTAAGTTTATTTATTTTTTTAAGGTTTAATCTTGGAGTTGGGTTTTATTTTTGGAATTTTAGATATGGTTTGAGCCTATGTATGTTTAGAGTGGAGCAAAACTCAAGGCCTAATTAACATGTAAAAATGTTGTTTAAGTGCAACTTAATATAACTTGTTCTTCAAAAAAAAAAGTCTTGTTCAAGGATATTTGTGAATTGGGCTACTGAGTTGAATCCTAAACATACTTCCAAGTAAGTATGTAGAGGATTGTAGTCTAAAACAAATCAATCATTTTTCTCTTGGATGACTATTGGCCTTATACTGCAATCCTTACCTAGCTGTAGATCCTTTACATTCTGTGGGATTTCTTTGGATTAACATATCTAAAAACAGAATGCACAACCGCAAATTATTTATATTTATAGTTCAAGCATTCTGTGTTACTAAGTGGATTTTTTTTACATTCAATCATGTCCTATTCTTGGAGACTACCTCGATAAGTCCCTGCAGTTTTCTTGGCAAGCTTTTGCAGAAATAGTTTGCCATGACTTCCTTCTCAGGGCTGAAAAAAAATGATTGGCCCAAGGTCACCCAGTTGGCTTTGTGCATAAGGGGTACCTAGAACTAATGATTTCCTGCTTTCTAGCCTGATACATCAACCATTACACCAAACTGAGTCTCAAATTTATTTATTTATTTAAGGAATTTTTATTGACATCTATTCGCACATGGCAACTCAAGGTGGCTTACAGAATATAAAACCCCATATAAAAACAATAAAACTAATAAAAGAAGAGTCATATACTAAAAAATGGATTTAATAAGCCTATATTCTGATCAGCCATATTAAATAATACTAATTTGCTTCTTTCCACTGAAACAAAACCTGTAGCACTCTTTGGCTCCAGAGTAGAAAGATCCTATTTTGTTTTGGATATTTTTTAAGAGTGCATAATGGCTGCTTTAAGCCTTTTAGAGATTTAAGATGCTCTGCTTGTCAACTCTTATAATTTTTAGACTCTGGAATATGAATAAAGGTTGCGCTTTGAAAATTGGATTGAAAAAAGTTTTAGTGTCAAGTAGCAATCCTGTTCTGTACTAAAGAACAGAAACATTGCCATTCTTTAATACTTTGATTGTTTAACAGTAATTATGAAAAATAGGATAAAGTTGCTATAAATAAAGTTATTAATATCACTGTTTTCTTATATAAGATCCCATTATTGTTATCCCTGTTGAATGGCATTGGATGGAACAGAAATGATTAATTATTAGAAACATAATTTCAATATGTAATCTTTGCATTCTTTGGAATATCTCAGTGGTTTATCATAAATGTTTTAGCAATATTAAAACTGGAGATTGGGTGATTTATTGTATAAATGAAAATACAATCAGTACCATAATTATAGCATTTGCGACCATAGTAAAGGAAATAAATGCCAAGGCCAGAAATATTTTTATTTTTAAATTTAAGCTTTTAACAGTCATCTAGAACGTTAAATATACAAAACAAGAACAACTATTGATACACCATGAGTAAAAGAAATTATAGAAATACTTTATAATGACACTTTCTCCCCTTTCTCCAATTTGTTTTTTTAACCGCTAACCTAAATATTAGTACTTTGCATTGAACATTAAACATTGAATATTATTGTTAGTAGCTAAGTAGTTTTGTTATGTTATTTTTGCTTAGTTCAATAACTTTTCTTAGAAAGCATAGTGTAATTCCAAATATTTAAATTTGCCTTGCTGTGTGATTTGTAGTGTACAAGAGAAACATTCCTGGAAATATTTTTTAATTTTTGATTCTGAGCTTTTTGCAAAACTGTTCTGTCTTGACTATCATATTTATAAATATGTGTATTTATTACTGAACGTATACCTCGCTTTTTAGCCTATTCCATCAGTGAAGATTACTTACATCAATAAAATGCAAAGTATTAGACAAAGTTAGAATCAGCCAATGAAATATATTAAAATCTTATTCTAGAACATTCATGGCTTTTCCAAGTATTCATATTCATATTATTAGCTTTAAAGCAAAAAGAGATGAGTAGTTGTTTGAGAATGGCAAACTTCACTTTGACACTATCATAGATTCAAATGGGAAAACAATTCAGTTTGATGCTATTCTGCTGTTTCATTTTAGCCTGCAAATTTTGTTTCTTTCGGAAATTATCCATTCAACCAGTTCAACAAAAGAAGATTCCAAATAGATATCTAGGCCAGCCTAGCCCTTTCACACATCCACATCTTCTTAAGCCAGGTAAGGATGCAACTCTAAGCACATTTACTGTAGTGAGAAATAAGTGTTCAGAGATATTTAATCCTAGACAAGTTTGCATAACACTACATTACTGACACTATCCTTTAACATCTCACTTTTTAATAGTTTTCTTAAAGAACAACCGGGGGGGGGGGGAGAATTTTATATCCTTCAAGGAATTCCTATTTAGAATGTTTTATGTTCCAGATAGAAAATACTTCCTAAAATTCTACTCATGTTCTCTTGGATGTATGTATTTGTGAGACAAAAGTATCAGATAAATCACGGGCTTCCCAACTCCCAGTCTACGGCTCACGAAGCCCCATCTGCTCATGTATGGGATCCACTGCATGAAACCACACACCCCAGGTCTGCGGAAAAATCATCCTCCATGGCACCAGTCCCTGGCACCCAAAAGATTGGGGGCTACTGATATAAATTACCCAGTTGCAAGTAATGCTAGCAAAAATTTCTGTATTTGCAACAGTTGGAAAAAGTTACAGTGATTGTTTTCCATCAGAAGAATTGTTTCCTGTCAAAAGAACTATTCCCAAAGTTACAAAATCTTATTGAGAGGCTTTTTGGTCTGTCATCAGATTTACAGAAGGTGGACACAAGAGACAGAAACAGATGTGCTGCTTAGGCGTAGAAATATTGAGAAACTCTAGACATTCTTTACTGATCTTCAGAGGGTCTGCGAATATAATTTTTCTTCCATGAAGGTTTTATTCTTTTTATGAATATATTTTATTTTAGCTAAGCATTTTGAGTGGTATTTTCTTTTTTAACACTCATTTCTTATCGTTTGACAAAATAGCAGATCAAAATCAGTTAGAAATAACTAACTGTAGTTGCTTGATTCAAATTTGTAAATAAGACCCAGGATTGATTCCTATTAGAAAACAGAAAGCATTCATCAGTGCCTGAATTTTGCATTTTTCTGAACTCAACCTTTTGCTGCATATATAGTGTATTTTATGACATTATTTGTCAATAGTTTTGTCTCTCTCCAAACATGTAGCTTGATTTTATGCATTATTGGTAAGGTATCCTTTCAGTCAAATTCATTATTAAATTTCTTTAATAAGTTTATGCAGAATGCCGTGTTTTTGTTGATGTGCACTATTGAATTATCTTTTCAACTGTTAATTTAATTAGATTTATGCTTCAGTAAAAGTCTGTGTGAGTACTGCTAAGTAGCTTTCCTCATTTCAACTGTTTAGAAAACTCTTAGATTTAGTTGTCCTTTGTCAAGTGCAGGGAACCAGGACAATTCTGTGGTTAGGCCAAAGCAGTTTATTATATTTCCTCTATTACCAGTCTTTTGCCAGAGTAATTGCATTCTCTTGGAAACTGGCAGATAAAGGCTTCAAGAGTCTTGCCTCTGTCGCTTCCTACCACTGAGAGACTCTAAGCTAAAATGCCTCTTTACTCTAATCTAGCCAGAGATTCCACCACATCTTTAATATTTGAAATGTGTGATTCTCTATGAATATTGATTAGGTAATTGTAATGGTATATCAATGCCACTCACATTTTATTTGTATTACAGAAAATTTCACTAGCTGGCATCTGAGTAGATAATGTGCCCAGCGGAAAATGTCTTATTTTCATCTTGTCTAGTGATGCTGCTGCCCAGCAACTAGCTTAGGTCAGCAAATTGCTTATTGCAAGTAGATTAATGTTTTTAAATTAAAGTGTGTACTGTGATATAATTTATGGAAGAAAAAAACTAAACAAAATTTTAATCTAAAAGTATATCCTATATTTTTAAATTTTCGCTTCCTTTTGAAAAGCATTGGATAATTTTAAAAAAATGGATAGTTATCAGGTAGCATTATGTTGCTATTAAAGATGGGAAAGAGCCTGTTGTTTAGTTGAACCAATGTCTCTCCCTAAAGAACACAAGAAGTCCTACAACATCAATCCAAAGTCCCTCATTGTGTTTCCACAGTAACAAGCAAAATGCTTTTAGGGAGATCCATATTTAAGGCATAAAGGCAGCAACCTGTCCCTGCCAGTTCCCTGCTGTCAGAATTGACTATCATATTCTCTCTGTATGAACTTGTAACATGTGTGACAAATTTACAGATACCCTCTCTATCAACCAGCTACTTGTATTACTGCCCACTGTTTTAGAAGTCCCACAATCCTCTGCAATTGTTTGGAGGACCATAGTCTAGAACATGGGTCCCCAACCTCCGGGCCGTGGCCCACTACCAGGCCTTCAGCCTTTTGGAACCAGGCCTTGGAAGTGGGGGGCGAGCGCACACATGCATGCATGCATCCCCACTCGTGTGAGCAGCAGGTGAGTGTGAGCAGCATGCACATGTGCGCACTATCCCCCCTGCCCTCCAGAACCAAAAAAGTTAGGGAACTCTGGTCTAGAAAATACTGCCTCTCTTTTTTTCCCCTCTCCTTTCAATTTTAAAGAGGTGTTTTTCTCATGGGGAGAATATGACTCAGGGGCATTTTAGCCAGAAAAATATTATTTATTATTTATTTATTTGTTTGTTTTAATTTGTATACCGCCCTTCTCCAGCAGGACTCAGGGCGGTGAACAGCCAAAATAAAACAGAACATACAAAATTTAAAAACAGTTTAAAAATAATTAAATATTTTGGCCGCAATTTAAAACAACCCAATTAAAATCAATTAAATTTAACCAAAAACAGTGGGATCAAGCCAGCCCGGCTAGGTGAAATAAATAAGTTTTCAGGGCCCGCCGAAAAGTCCAGAGGTCTGGTATTGTACGTATCTCTGGGGGGAGGTTGTTCCAGAGGGCGGGCGCCACCACAAAGAAGGCTCTCCCCCTGGGGGTTGCCAGCCGACATTGTCTGGCGGACGGCACCCTGAGGAGGCCCTCTCTGTCCGAGCGTACTGGCCAGTGGGAGGCTATTGGTGGCAGAAGGCGGTCTTGTAAATACCCCGGCCCTAAGCCATGGAGTGCTTTAAAGGTGGTCACCAACACCTTGAAGTGCACCCAGAAGACCACCGGGAGCCAGTGCAGTTCGCGCAGGAGAGGTGTCACATGAGAGCACCCCGTCGCTCCCATAATCCCCCGCGCGGCCGCGTTCTGGACCAGCTGGAGCCTCCAGGTGCACCCCAGGGGGAGCCCCATGTAGAGAGCATTGCTATAAAGAAAAACATTTAAAAATACAGGCTAACAACCTTAAGTACATAATATGTCCAGGTTTTAGGCAGATATTTACATTTTTAAAAGGTATCTTCAAATGATAGGGCGTATAATAAACCACCTAGAGTAGCTTCATGGTGTGATGGGCAGCAGATAAATGTATTAATAAAAATATTCATTATTGTTGAATATTCATTCATTATTATAAAATATTGTGGAACTAAGTCCTTTTGATTCCACTAGAACCTTTTGTTAGATTTAATTAAGATTCAGAAAGTATAATTCTCACATTTTTCAAGTGTTAGCTCTGTTCAATTTAATGGATTGGCTTTAATGGCTTTAATAGATACAAATCTGGTTATAGACTATTTAAAAAAGCATTCCATTTACAGTCAATTTTTTTGTCTTTAGTTCAGTTTTGTTAAAATATTTTTGTTTTCTGGACATTGTATTTATTATAAATAGGTTAGATTATAGATAAAATTAGATTGAATAATTAAATCTGAAGTTCTGAGAAAATACTGTTGTACTTCTAATCTAATTCTTAGATACGCAGCTTATTAAAGATCCTTTTTTAAATTCAGCATTATGAACTCTGCATTTCATGGAGATGTTATTCCTAGGTAATGAAATATCCATACTGCTATCAAAATGCAGAGTGCAACAAGCTCTGCCATCCTCTGTTCAATGTGCAAATGGTATAAAAAGGTATCAAGTTTACTTTTCTTTGTTCCTCTCTCCCAGTAATCATTTTTGGTTATAATCCTTATGTTAGTATTAACTGTAGCTTTTGAAATGTCTTGTGAACTCAAGTTTCTGCAAACAATTTTTTTTAATAATAAGAGAAAAAATAGTTTAGAGTCGAACTAGGAATGTGGAGACATGAGTGCAGAGAAAATGAATAGAAAGGAGATGAACTGGAAAATGTAAGACTAGTCTCAAAAAATTGTAAGGGTCCAGCAGCATGAAAAAAAATTGTTTCTAAAATAGAAATTGTATTTTGAATTCTATTCACAGGAGAGGTAACACCAGGATTATCACAAGTGGAATATGCTCTCCGTAGACACAAGTTGATGGCTCAGATACAGCAAGAGGTGCAAGGGACAAATCACACAATAATTCTGCTTTCAAATCCTACCTATTACATGAGCAATGATATTCCATATACCTTTCACCAGGACACTAATTTCCTATATTTGTGTGGCTTCCAAGAACCGGATAGTATCTTAGTGTTGCAAAGTGTGCCTGGTAGATCTTTGCCATATCACAAAGCTTTACTGTTTGTTCCAAAACGAGATCCAAGCCGAGAGTTGTGGGATGGGCCACGATCTGGCACAGATGGAGCAGTGGCTCTCACTGGTGTAGATGAAGCATATACCATGGAAGAGTTTAGACATCTGGTATCTAAATTAAAAGGTATGAAAATAAAATAGATTTTGCACTGTATGAAATAGAATGATATTGAATCATTTCAGCAATTTGCTGTCAAGTAAAGGGCATAATAGAGACAAGATAGAAAGCTGGATTCATACACTGCATTATAGGTAGTCCTCAATTTATGACCATCACTAAACCTGCAATTACAGTTATAAGTTACGACAGTTATTAAGCAGGTCATCATGTGCCTGTGCCCAATTTTACAGTCTTTTTGCAGCCATCATTAAGTGAATGCAGTCGTTAAACAAATCCATTGTTTGTTTTTTGCTGCAAACCAGAAGTAAATGCTGATTTCTGGCAAAAGTGTAAGTCACATGACCGTGGGACACGGCAAATGACTAAATGTGGGCCAGTTGCTGAATGCCCAAAATGCAGTCATGTGATGGGTGGGGTGGGTGTCAGAATTTCAAATCCAAGTCGTAAGTACATTTTTTCAGATGTCATAACTTTGGTCATAACTTTGAACAGTTAACTGGTCATAAGTTGAGGACTACCTATAAGCCTTAGAATGGGTTGGATTTGCCTTAATGTTTGAACCCAACAATTGTGGTTCATAAAAGGTGGTTCATGGTAGGCATGTTATATAAATTGTACATCAATTATTCAGTGACCTATAACTAAGGAAATAATAACTTTATGTGAAAAGTTTAACCCAATTAAAATCCTGAATGCCTAGCTCCGTATATGCCTTTATAGAAAGAAACCTAGAATATCATAATTTCAATAGAGAGGAGGGCAAATTTGTTTTTGGATTTTAGTGCAAATATTAACATGCAAAGTTCATATTTTCTGAAACTGAAAACAACCTGAAAAACAATATTAAGTGCCCAATTAAATCATTTTTTACTGAAGTTTTCAGAAATACGTACAAATGTTTAGTTAATGTTATTCTAGGTTGCCCCAATCCCAAATGTCTTTTGTTCCAAAGAGAACATTTAAGTTCTACTTTCACAATTCCTTTCTTTAAGAACTGTTGTAGTAGAGTCATGTATATGTGCAACATATTGAAGGTGATAAGTAATAGGGCTTAGAAACAGTTGTTTGCAACTTATAGTACTGTAGCCTCTTCTGATTAGTACACAAAAGAAAATCGCTGTCCATGCACAAGGCAGAAAAAATAATTGAGAATAGCTTCCTAATTAGCTACTCAATTTGGTAACTATTACTTTAAGAGTGCAAAAGTATATGCTTCCAACTCTTTCAAATGATTTGCACAGTCCTACTAGGTACTCTTTTTAGACTGCATTTTTAACACACTTAAGAGTGTTAAAAACATTACTTCTGCGTCCACATGGATGAGAATGTATTCTGAAAAGAAGAAGCTTTGTTAAAATTATAATATAGAGATTCATAATCTATAGCTCCAGAGCCACATGCGGTCTCCCATAGCCATGGAAGTGGCTCCAGTGTTCTATTAAAAGATATTATTGATAATCTGAAATCGTTAATGCAATAGAAGTGGACAATATTAAATAGTATAGGAATAACTAATAGTTTTATTAAGTTCATTGAGAATAACTAATAATTTAATCAATTTATATTAACTCTAGTTTAAATTACTTTTTATATATTTAATCTCCGTTTTTGCAATGTGATTCTTAGCACTCTGTTCAAAGACCAAGTACAGTTCTTGATCCAAAAGAATTGTATATTCCTATTCAGATGCACTTGAAATCTACTTTTTTATATAAAGGATGATGCGTTGGGAAAACACATGCCCTCTTTACTCAGTGAATTTAGATTCATATGTTTGTTTCTAAGGAGGTTATCTGTTAGTTGGTTATTCTTCATCAATATTTCTTATTACCAATTCCTTTCAGGCAGGTTTAAAAATCCAAATTTGACTGCAATCTGATATTAACCAAAAATATGCAAACATCTCTCCAAAGAAGTATAGTTAATTAAACTTAAAATGTAATTACATTCTGTTTCACAGATGACTCTAGCACAGTTTGGTATGATTTTGCTAAACCTGTGCATCCACAGCTCCATTCTGATTATCTGCTGCATCTGGCTGAGGTCAGAGCTAAATGCAACAACCAGGTTCGAGCTGTCCGGCATCTAGTACAAAACCTACGGCTAATGAAATCTGCCACAGAGATTGAGAGGATGAAATTTTCTGCAAAAATCACTTCACAGGTATTGATCAAAGCATTTATGTTGCACAAAGTGTTAAGAGAAAAAAAAAGGCATGATATTGGAATTCATGCCAAAAGGGAAATGACATATACCGTGTTCCACCCAAAATTAAAACCCACCCCAAAAATATGCCCTAGTCGGGTTTTTTTGGGTGGGCCTAATATGAACCCTAGGGAACGTGGTGGCTCAGTGGCTAAGACGCTGAGCTTGTCAATCAAAAGGTCGGCAGTTCAGCGGTTCGAATCCCTAATGCCGCGTAATGAGGTGAGCTCCTTGTTACTTGTCCCAGCTTCTGCCAACCTAGCAGTTCGAAAACACGTAAAAAATGCAAGTAGAAAAATAGGGACCACCTTTGGTAGGAAGGTAACAACGTTCCGTGAGCCTTTGGCGTTTAGTCATGCCAGCCACATGACCATGGAGACGTCTTCGGACAGCGCTGAAACAGAGATGAGCACCGCCCCCTAGAGTCGGGAACGACTAGCACATATGTGCAAGGGGAACTTTTACCTTTTAATATAAACCCTACCCCCAAAATAAGCCTGGGGGATGGGCATGGCCAGCATGAGAGGCAGTGAGCTCGTGGGGGCCAATGGTTTCTGGCAGCAGCCGAAGCCCACTGGCCCCTTGGCGCAGCGCAAATATCAATAAGTCCGAACGTGGAGGCAGAGGCAGGGGGGAGAAAGGTGATCTGTGCTGCGGGGTGGCACTGGCAGGAGCCAGACGCATGGGGGATAGGGGAGGCAGGCGATCCCGAAGCGTGGGTGTGGATGGTTGTTCAACGTGGCCACAGGCAAACCAAGAGATGGGACAGAGTGGGCTGTGTGTTGGGATCGCCTCTGCCTCCGCCTGGCTCTGCTGTGCACTTTTTGCCCAGAGGAAGACAAAGCTTTGTCTGCTTGCAAAGGGGACAGAGAGGGTGGGACCGACAGTAACTTCCCAAATACTTTTCGCCCAGAGGAAGCTTTGTTTGCTTGCAAAGGGGACGCTTTGAAACAGAGCTAATCACTCTGTTTCAAACTGTCTCCTTGTAAGCACATTATGTTTTGAGTCTCCATTATTTTTCTGTTTGGGGTGCTTGGGAATGGACGACCAAACACTTTTTGCCCAGAGGGAGAAATAAAGCTTCGTGTGCTTGCAAAGGGAACAGTTTGAAATGGAGCTAATAGCTCCGTTTCGAAGTGTCCCCTTTGCAAGTAAATAAAGCTTCCTCTGGGTGAAAAGTGTTTGGGCTGCTACCATCGGCCCCACCCTCCCCATCCCACTGTCTGCTTGCCTGCAGCCTCAATCGGGGCCAAGCTCTTGGCACATTCCAGCCTCCACCCGCCCTGCCAGGAGGGCAAAGAGCCTCCCACGAGGCCAGCAGCAGCATGGGCAGCCACCTGGCAGCCAGCATGGTGCCCACCGTGGCCAAGAAGTGTACCAGCAGACCTGGGCCAGCAGGCAAAGCGGGTGGAGGCTGGGACATGCCGAGAGCTTGGCCCGTTGCAGCCGCGAACAAGCAGACAGTGAGATAGAGAGGGCAGGTAGCTGCACTCCCACTCCTCTCAGCCACCACGCTCACCGTCTCCTGCACTTAAAAAAAATAAGCCCAAATACTTATTTTCAAGCCCCCCCCAAAATAAAACCAGGTCTTACTTTCAGGGAAACACGGTAGATAATAGCTGGCATCTTTCTGCTTGCCTGCAGTCTGAATCAGGGCCAAGGTCTCGGCCTGTCCCGGCCTCCACCCACCCTGCCAGGAGGGCGAAGAGCCTTCAGCAAGGCCAGCAGCAGCATGGGCAGCTGCTTGGCGGCCAGCACTGTGCCCACTGCAGCCAAGAAGTGTACCAGCAGACCTGGGCCAGCTGGCAAAGCGGATGGAGGCTGGGATATGCCGAGAGCTTGGCCTGTTGCAGCCGTGGGCAAGCAGACAGTGGGACAGAGAGGGCGGGTAGCTGCACTCCCACTCCCGTCAGCTCACCGCCTCCTGCACTTAAAAAAAATAAGCCCAAGTACTTATTTTCAAGCCCAAAAGAAAATAAGACCGGGTCTTATTTTCAAGGAAACACGGTAGATATAGCTGGCATCTTTCTACTAGAATGTTTCTGGATCTGATGCTGATGATTTATTCCAGAAATAAAATATGGGATCCTTGTGTTTGTGGAAAGCCTTCTGTCAACAAGTACCACTGTAGTCCCCTATGTTTCACATAATAAGATTATCATCATACGAGTTAGTGTGAAAAATACCAGTGAAGAAGAAATCAAACATAACTGATTGCTTTCTATAATACATCATAATCCAAAGTGTACATTTACAGCTATGATCCAATTTCTCATTTGATGGTATAATGAATCGCAATATGGTCCTATTCAGCTCCTCAACCAGCTCTTCCTCACTGGTTAGAATCAGATCTAGGAGAGCTGATCCTCTTGTCTCATCTTTTGGAAAATATAATCATATTTTGGAAACAAACATCTTCATTAATAGTTTTTATTACTGCATTTCAACAGGCATTCATAGAGACTATGTTTACAAGTAAAGCACCAGTGGATGAAGCATTCCTATATGCTAAGGTATGTGCTTTTTTGCATTATGGAAAATAGTCCTTCACTGTAACATGACAACCAGTGTTTAGGTTGAATTCACATGTAATGCATATGCTCATATAACATATGATAGGTTTCTATTAATCCTCATGTCAACACTTAATTTAGAACTTGCAGGATGGATACCAAAGAAGGAGAACATTAAGAGAGAGACCTGGATTTTAATAAAACTTAGAAAAGATAGTAAATCCCATTAAACTTGATAAGATAGGCTTTTGAATAGATGTGTGTGTAGGACTATTGATAGCCTTTCATCTGAACAATGAGAGGATTTTGCTCTTCAGCACTAATTACATTTCACTTCCTGAACATTATCTTTCCTTAAGAATACCTGTTATGAAAATGAAATTTCAAGAAAAAATAGTGCAAATGCAAAGTGTTACTTAATGTGTTTGGGCATTTTAATTTAGAAGTATTTTTCCCTACAAACATTCTCCTACACGTATATAGTATCCAAAAAATATGTTTTGGTTCTAATTAACAGTTGAGAGTGCCAACAGCCACCCACTCAAACGTAATGAAAATGTGAGAATAACTACAGACTAAAGTCTCTTCCTTTTCAAAGGAACAAAATTGAGTAGGAAATACAGCCTACCACAAACCCAAAAGAATTAATGAGTTAATACCTCCTGGTGTTTCATGTTACTTTCATCTGATGAAAGACATCCTTGGCTGGTTTGCTACTCCTATGGCTATGCATCCAGATCAGGATAAATATAGATAGGGGGAAAAATTGGGCATAGATAGAAGCACATAAGAACAACTACCTTTGATTTTGCTGTTTTAAAACAATCACCAAGTTCTTTGTAGTTTTTTTCTGAAAAAAATTAGACAAGTTGTATACTTTTGCTTCCCACAGCATATTAGGTTTCTTTAGTTGACATACTGTAGGAAGGAAGAGAAATGTATGGCTTTTCAGATGGTGCTGAACAACAGAACTCCTCTCCACTGATTGCAATATCTGAGGCTGTTAGGTATTAGTAGCTTACTCTATGGCAGTATTGGTGCAATGGGAATGTGCGCGTGTGCGAGGGAGCACCAGAAACCGGAAGAGCAGCTCCCTTGTGCACGCACAAGAGCACCAACAACCGGAAGAGCAGTTCCCTGGCACGAATGCGCATGCCAGGAAGCTGAGCTTCCAACATGCGCATGCGCGCCAGTCACCTGGTCTTCTGGCTTCTGGCACGCATGCTGGCCAGTGAGCATGTGTGCACCAGAAACCGGAAGCTCAGCTTCCTGGTGTGCGCCTGCGCTCTCACGCACACGAAGACTAGCTGGCCAGTATGCATGTGTGCGCTGGAACCCGGAAGAGCAATGGGCAATGGCAGGCATGCCCAGAGAGATAGCTCTGCCATCATGGCTCTATGGGTTGGTATATTTTCTTCAAGGAGCTAAGAATATGGCTCCATGGCTTAGGGCCAGGGTATTTCCAAGACCGCCTTCTGCTACCAATAACCTCCCACCAGCCAATACGCTCTCACAGAGAGGGCCTCCTCAGGGTGCTGTCGGTCAAGCAATGTCAGCTGGCGGCCCCCACGGGGAGAGCCTTCTCTGTGGGAGCACCCGCCTTCTGGAACGAGCTACTTCCCGGAATACGACTGATCCCGGATCTCCGCACTTTCCATAAGGCCCTGAAGACTTTTTTATTTCAGCAAGCCGGCCTGGCCTGAATAGGTTTTATGGGTTAGTTTTTAAGTGTATAGCTTGGGGTTTTAAATTGGGAGGCCGATTAATTTAATTTATTTTTAGTTATCTTAACTTTTATATTGTATGTTATTTTAATTTTCGGCTGTTCACCGCCCTGAGTCCCTTCGGGGAGAAGGGCGGTATATAAATTCAATAAATAAATAAATAAATAACTTTTATATCAGGGGTGTCAAACTTACGTTGTCATGGCAGCATCACATGACTTATCAGGACTTTTTCCTTCACTAAACCGGGTGTAGGCAACACGTAAAAAAAAAAAAATCTCGCGAGTCCAATCAAACTTCTCGAACTTGCGAGTTTTCTTTTAAAACATGTTTCCCTGGACACAACGGTGAGGAACGCGACAGAGCTGGAAAGGTATGACCCGTGTCCCGCTTCTCACCCGCCTCACTTGCCACCCCTAAATTGCATCCCTAAAGGGGGCGGGTGTCTAAGCAAGGGGCAGGAGCCCTGCCATACCCAGCGAGGGGGTGGGAGAAGAGACGGCAAGGTGAGCCACGTTTCTCGCTTCTCCCCTGACCCATCTGTCAGAAATGAGTCTTTGTGAGATTCATCGCAGCGGCGCCACCTTGTGGAGTAGGACTCTGCAAGGCTTGTGCCCTTACACGCAAAAACGGCAGCACTGCCACAAGGTTTGACATACTGGTGCAGCCACAAGCGGAAAGACACCAGCTGTGCCGGTATGATGAAGCTCGTGGCGGTGCTGCAATTCATGCGTGCAATGGCACAACAAGCCTTGCAGAGTCCTGCTCCACGAGGCAATAGCAGCCAACTGCTCAGCCGGCGTGAAGAACAGGGAGGGGAGGGCATCTTTCCCCCCCTTTCCCCCTCCCCTCTGGCCTCAACTCATTTTGGTTGCACGACAAGCAACCAGAGAAAATGGCAGGACCAGATGCGCATGCGTGTAAGTAGTTGGTGTGGGGGCTTATTTTAACGCATGCCCTGAAAAGCCCGATTGGGCTTATTATCCGGAGAGGTCTTAGTTTCAGGGAAATGCAGTAAGTGATACAGTCATAAAGCATAACGACCCATGACTGTGCTGCTAAGCAATGGAAATCATAGCATTTTCCATTGATGATAAGTGAATCATTGCAAGTTGTTAAGCAAGGATGCCATGTAGTCCCCTTTTGTGAACTCCTGCCAGCTTTCCCATTGACTTTGTTTGTAGGAAGTTGGCAAAGAAGGATGCAAATGGTGATTATGTGATTGCGGTGATACTGCAAATGTTGTAAGTACAGTTATAAGTACCATTCATTCATGCACTGTTAAGCGAGGACCACCTGACTTGAGAAAGCTGAATTAAGTCTTCCTATTCAAACATACAGTGTATCCCATATACTTTGCTAGTTTGCTAGCCCAAGTATGGGCATTGGCAGAGGCTTTCTGAGAAAAGGCTTTTCTGTGCATTCATTTCAACAATTAATGGATTATTTTACTTCCAGTTTGAATTTGAGTGCCGGGCTCGTGGTGCTGATATTTTAGCTTATCCCCCTGTGGTTGCTGGCGGCAACAGGTCCAATACCTTGCATTATGTGAAAAACAATCAATTTATCAAGGTAACTGAATGAATTCTGCAACATAATAGTATTATTATCTACTGAACCCCTCCAAAAGAAATAAATGAAGATGTACTGCGGTAATAGCAATAGCACTTAGACTTATATACAGCTTTACAGTGCTTTACAGCCCTCTCTAAGCTGTTTACAGAGTCAGCATATTGCCCCCAACAATTTGGGTCTTCATTTTACCCACCTCGGAAAGATGGAAGGTAATATATTAACCAAGCCATTTAAAAAGATTGGAATGCAACTATAGTTTTAAAAGAGGATATAATCCTGTTTCCGAGTACCTTCTTAAACTGAGTAGACCATAACCAGTTCTACTGCATTCTAGTGTGTTTCTGACTGTCCTATATTTCTAGGGCTAAAAATCTACTTCCTCATTCTATGGAGTAGAACGAAGAAATTTAGGAATAATCTTACAGCTGTACTGCATATGAATATTTTAATGAGGAAATATAGGGATTTGTATAAAAAATATAAAAATATATCTCCGAACAGGTCTTGCAGCATGGCCCCCAATAATATCTGCCCCTATTCATGCGATTTGGTTGATTTAGATACTTGTTTCATGAGAAAAATGAATTTTTCAGGAGGCCTTCTCTTTGCCTCCTTCCCCACCAATGTGCTTGATGAATATGACCGCTATTGGCCAATAAAAGTGGGTGTGATTAAAAGTACTTAAATGAAAGTAAATGAAATTAACATAGCAACAGCTTTTAAGTTAGATCAGACTTCCTCATTTTAGCACTTTTCTTTGTGCTGGACTGCAGTTCCCATAATCCAACTGTCAGTTATGGGACTACAGAAGTCAATAATAATAATTACAATAATAAGGATGATAAGTGTTAAAATAAGCTAAACATCAAAGCTTGCAAAGAAGGACAGTTCATTATAACTATAAAAAGCTACACTCTGCTGAACTATTAGATGACAAATTAAATGTAATTTATCTCACTAAAGATAAATTCCAGGTTTGTTTGTTTGTTTGTTTTTTTAAAAAACTATTTTATAGCACTATTTAAATGAAATTCTTAAATGCCAAGTAATTGCTTTTTCTTGTGGTCCAGGATGGAGAAATGGTTTTATTGGACGGAGGGTGTGAATACTCTTGTTATGTGAGTGACATTACCCGCACTTGGCCCATCAATGGCAGGTAGGTCCTGTTCCCAGCAAAGGAACATCAAGTTGGTTGCAATTCCAGGTTTTTCTGAAATGTTTCATTATTGTGATTTCTTCATTTCATTATACTTCAGAAATCATCCTTGCCAATATTGTAAGGATGATTGCAATTTTTAGTGCAATGTACTACAGTCATCCTGCTTCCCCTGCCCTAGAGTTGAGATATGCTTTAGTTTGTAGTAATGCAAAACCAGATAATTTAGAAAAGTTTGTATGTCATTATTTCATTTCAAAATGTTAATGGGAAATATTATTTATCAATTTCACTGATACTTTCCAAGTAAAATTACAGAAAGGTTTGAAACAAGAGGTGTTCAGGTTTGCAATCTTCCACCAACATTTTGGAGTAGAACAAATCCAAAGAACTGTGCTGCATAATTATTTTGTACATGCATTTTAGCATTTAATTTTTGCTTTTCTTTCTGCTTAAATCTCACTTGAGGTGATTTGTGTTTTTCTCTTATTATCAGGTTCACTAGTCCCCAAGCAGAGCTGTACCAGGCTATACTGGAGGTCCAGAAGTCATGCCTAAGACTTTGTTCTCCAGGTGTGAGCCTAGAAAACATCTACAATTTAATGCTAACTCTCATTGGACAGAAGCTGAAAGAGTTGGGAATCGTAAAGGATAGCACTAGTGAGGGTCAGGTCTTCAAGGTACTTGGTTTCTTTGCATAACTGTTTAGCCTGTTATTTTTCCTGGCTAAAAAAACAACAATAGTGAACAGTAAAAAAGGTGAACAATCCTTTAAATCATCCCATTTTAAGTTTTGAAGTTGTAGCTTCCTGCAGATATGCAGCTCTAAAAGAAATACAGGTAGTCATAGATTTATAACCTGTCCCTTAAGAATCATTTAGAGTTATGATGGACATCCCGAGAGTTACTTACAATTTATTTTTGCAGTTAGAACAACCCCCCCACCCCCACCCCGGTCACATAATCCCATTTTGGGCTCTTGGCAACTGAATCACCTTTATTTCCAGCTTTTGGCAAAAAAACAGCTGTTGTGGGAAATGAATTTGCTTCATAACCACAGCATTCACTTATCCACTGTTGTAAATACAATTGTAAGTTCAAATACGGTCATATTATGCCTCAATTTATGACTATAATTCCAGGCTCAATTTCTGTCATGAATCGAGAAGTACCTACCATATATTGGTGACAAGTCGAAGGTTATCAGTGGTACAGTATCTTTTTCATCCAGCAGATGGCAGACTATTTAGATTTACACACACACACAAACACACACACACACAAACCAGTTGTTTTAATTCCTGAGAACAATTAATTCAAGAGACAGAGATCAGTGGTGGGATTTTTCTAATTTCTCAGTAAGGTTATTAAATTTGATTGTTAAATTGAGGAGAAAAGTGCTTCATTTTAAGATTTTGGTAATAGTTATGGAAGATATTTTCCTATAATTTTTTTGACATGTACATGGGAAAGCGCCTGCTCTAGAAATCTGTTAATGACTCACTTTGATTCAACTTACCTGTGTAATAATTCCCTGATCTTCCATAGATAGATACAAGGACTGATAATATTTCAGTACAAGTTCTTTCTACCCATCAATCTCAGAAATTGTGGGACAAATAAAAAATGCATCACTATAGCAGTATTTTGAAATTTGGCACAAATTGTGGGATCCAACAAAATAAACCTTAAATAGGTATTTAGTCCAGCAATCAAATACTTGCCTGCCCAGTATCTCTAATGGGCCAAGGACAAACTTGCAGATCTCTAAGAGCTGCAACCTGTTGGCATAAACAATATTAGATGGCCAGAGTATGGTTTTACATAGTACAACTTCCAATAAAATTACCTTAAATCAATGGATATTTTGAAGTAATATCAACTTCTGTTTCAACTGGCAAATGTAGGAAAATATTTCATACTAAGTTAAACAGAGTGTTATGAGATGTGCTACTCTTGCAAGTTATGTATTGAGAACATTTTAAAATGGAAAGTGGTCCTGGGCTCTTTCTTTGTTATACTCTTTAAGAATATTTCTGTGTACAATAATGGCCTTAATAATGGCTACTATGTGCACTTGAACAACATAGACCAACTGCTTAGCAGAGTGAGGCGTACTGCTGTTTCTTGAGATCCTTGCCTACTCTGATTTGTAAAATTCACAGGAACTGAAAAGTTTCAGAACCCCAGTAAGAACAACCTACTTGAAAAATAGTGAAGTTCATCCTGGTCTGCTGGAAAAAGTGATGAGGTTTTGAACAAGAAACCAAGCTTAGGTCAAATGGTTTTGAATAAACATTGCATAAAATTTAGGCAAGGTACTGAAATAAGTGAGGGCCTCACAATTCCACGTAATATTAATTTTTTACCCACAGAGGAAATCTGCCAGCTAAAAGATCAAAGGTACCTTGGAGCTCAAAACAGACACTATTTGCCTTTAATACCAAACTGATTGTCATTTATATATTTTGCTTAAAGACCAGAATCTGTTGCCCTTACAGCAAACAGCAAATTTGATAGATATAAGACAGAAGATGGTGCCTACACAAAACATAATAGTTGTATTTATAAGTAAAAACAACCAATTAATGTTATATTTCCTTTTCACTGTATGTTTCTAGCAGATTTTGTGCTGAAGAATATCCATCCAATATTACTCCAATTTTTGCTTGTTTTAGAAATTTATTATTTTTTGCCTCATAGGCTGTTCGGAAATACTGTCCACATCATGTAGGACATTATCTGGGAATGGATGTTCATGATACACCTGATGTATCCCGATCAACTCTCCTCCAGCCAAGCATGGTGATCACCATTGAGCCAGGTAAAATAGTGCACTGATGAAATCAATATAAAAAGATGTGTGTCTATGTGTGGCATCTTGAAAAGAAGAATGCCCAGTTATTTATGCAATGATTGCTACAATCATTTCTCAAAAATTTATTCTCAAAAAAATGCTCAAAAATGACAGTGCAATTGTCTTTCTATTTTGTTTTTAAATAGCTTCAAATTCTTAATATATCTGTCTCTGTTTCTATTATTCACCCCCATAACTGTGAGAAGGTAGTCATCTTAGAGGCGTTGAGAACTATCCAAAAAACACTGCCATTTGCTTCATAGATTTAACTATGAACAAACAACCTTCATGAAAATAATTTTTAAAAGGGTGCTTAATTGCATTTATATCAGCGTAGAGTAGCTTGTAAAAACTATTCTGGTCTTGTAAGTTTAGCCCAGTGTTTCCACTACTGGTACAAAATGAATTTGTGTGTATTGCATTATATCAGTTGGATCAAAGTGGAGATACTCTAGCTATCGATTCTTGACCTGTGGAGATAAAACCTGTTGTTTGTGCTATGCCTTCTAAACCCTGAAGGAATATACTGTATAATTTGCAACCGGAATCTACTAGATTTTGATCAGTACTTTTATTTCCAGGCATTTACATACCTGAAGATGATACAAGTGCCCCTGAACGATTCCGTGGCATAGGAATACGCATTGAGGATGATGTGGTAGTGACCGAGAATGTACCATTGATCTTGTCTGCAGATTGCCCAAAGGAGATCTATGATATTGAACAGGTTTGCAGTTGTAGCCTTTGATTGTTCTTCACTGCCTTTTTTATATTTTGCTCGGGTTTAGATTGGAAAATACACACTCATATATAACACAGTTTTTCATAACTTGTAGGATTGTTTGACTAGATAGAATCACTACTAGAAAAATATTACTTGCAAGGAACTGTGTGTAAATATTTTGCAAGACACAATTACACTATTTAAATGGGAAATGTACATTACCGTTCAACATGTATTTTAAAGCTATGCTAATACTAAAACAAAGCTCATGAAACAGAATTCTGCATCCCATCATTTGGTCTATTTCTTTCTGTGCTTATACTGTGATGATGTTATTTACAGAGATGTACTGAATATCAGCTGTACTGACCTTTCTCAGACTGCATATGTATGTCTATAACAATTACATTTTTAATTTTAGTTTTTTAATTGTAAGAGCTGAAAAGAAAAAAAAGGAGCATTTTTCTGGATACAGTAATTTGCAGTGTATAAAAGAAAAGCAAAAAAAAAAAGAACGCCAAACTTGAAATTAGAGGAGCTTTTCCCCTTTTCAGAAGATACAAGAAGGGCTAACATGTTGGGAAATCCATTAATGTGAAAATGAGGGTATTACATATAAAGGACAGCTAAAGACAAATCCCTGTGTAGAATTAGATGTGGCAAAGCTATTGATCACAATGTGTTTAAGCACACCCAGTCCTGCATATATTGATGGCTTGGCTTTAGTGATTAAAAATGTCAGTTTTAGGTGAAAATAATATGAGCTCATTTGATAAACTCACAGTGAATCAGACTAGATTCAAAATGCTTATCAATGAAGTTGTGATTACTGTATTTTTCTTTATATATTCAGCCTCTCATAGGAAATGTGAACACAGAAGCACTTTGGGATCCAACTATGAAAAGTACTGCATTTATATTAAATTGCTCTTTTCCTTGACTAAATACATAGAAACGGTAACCCAAAAAGTGGTAACACTCCAATTCTTTATATTGTGGTAAAATCTAGCAATTGATATAAGACTATTTCTGAAGTGATGCAAAGCATCAGGATTTTTTAAATTTGAAATTCTTACAGAATACTCTGTTTTAAGGTTGAGGTCTTAATACCACATATTATCAGAAGATCAAAACAAAAGTTAAATTGAGAAATCAACAACTTTCTTACAAGTAGAAACATAAAAATAAGTACACTAATTAAGTTCACAAATATGATTAAAGCTTGGTACTATTCTAGTTGGGTCAAATTGTTTTCCAAGGAATTTTTATAAAAGATGAAATGTTACATAATTATCTGGCGAATATTTTTTGTGAAGTGCTTTTTGCATTTTTGAAAGAAAGATGCTGTCTGTGTACAATGTAATTATTACAGATGTGTAATATACAAAAGTGTTTTATTCTTCTAAAAAGAAAAAAAATCTGTATTGGTGAAAATATAATTTCAACAATTATATTTGAAACTTGGCTTACAGAAACTACCCCCCCCTTGTCAGGTAACCTATTTTCTTCAATATCCTAAAATGAGAAGTTTCTAGCCTTTTATCAGTGATAGCCACTGAAGATATGAATCTGGTTTTAGCATATATTAAATAACCCATGACTTATTGGATCATTGTTTCAGAGATATTTTCTTATCTAAACAGAATAATAGAATGACGGCTGGTGGCCAAACAAGCAATGGGAGTAGAAGCAATTTCCAACTACCAGCTGGCTTTCCCATTGACTTTCTTCGTAGGAAACTAACCGGGAGTGTCAGAAAGGATGATCATCTAACCACAACTGACTACAGTAACATACCAACACAGCTGCACTGAAGCAGCCACAATACTAAAATTCAATCTCATAATTTGGCTCCCAGATTTTAGACACATTCTGAAAGTTAACCCATTTGATGTGCATTGATTCAAAAATTGTTGCCATATGATAGACCAGCAGCCCCCAATCTTTTAGAAATCAGGGACCAATTTCATGGAGAGTAGTTTTTCTGTAGACCAGGGGGAACATGGGTTTGTGTGCTGTCTGCATCCTGCACATGCATAGATGGGCCTTATCTTCCTTGCATGGACCAGTTCCTGGCAGGCCGTGGACCAGTGCTGGTCCATGCCTTGGGGGTTGGGACCCCTGTGATACACCATTTCACCAGTGGTGGGTTCCTCCCGGTTCCGCCGAGCCGGTAGCGGCGACAATATGAGATCTACCTCCCGCGTTATTCTTACCTTTTATTTGGCCCCACCCCCAATCTATTGCTGCCTCCTGAGTCCCAGCTGATGGCTAAAGGGAAAAAAACTGTTTAAACTCTTGCCGGGGCTTCAAAGGGCCGCCCTACAGCTGATCAGTGTTAAAAGAAAACAAATGAGTAGACCGGTGCCTGCAAAAATAAATGGGAAGACCAGTGCCTTCAAAAATACATGAGTAGATCAGTGCCTGCAAAAATAAATGGGTAGACCAGTGCCTGCAAAAATAAATGGGTAGATCGGTACAGCTCTGCAAGCAGTTAAAAGTCTGGTAGACCAGTACCTCTGCTAAATCCTAAATAATTGTCACATGACCATCAAACCACGCCCACAAAAGCCACGCCCACAGAACCTGTAGTAAAAAAATTTAGAACCCAACCCTGCATTTCACCCAATTGAAGGTTACAAACAGCCACAAGAGTTTTAGTAGTACAAATAGTCCTTGATTATGACTGTTTATAGATGGTTCAAAGTTATGATGACCTTGGAAAAAGTGACTTAAGACAGATAAGATAAACTTGTCATTTTTACTGTAAGCACACTGACCCACATTAAAAATGAAATTCTGTTGGCTGCTCTCAAAAGAAGGTATATATCTACCCATACCCATACATGACACTCATATACACAATGTATATACATACATACACACACACACACACACACACACACACACACACACACACACACACATACATATATACACACATACACACACACACCCCTACCTACATCCATCCATATATATATACATATAAATCACTGTCCATTTTGAATCCATAGCAGAAAGGAAACTTGAGAGTTCACAAGGTTGATGCTACATGGAATGCTACTCTTGACTGTATCTAGATGTTCTGCTTCGGATACCATGAAGCCTTCTCCCAGAAGATAACAAGGAAAAGAGGTCATCGACAGGATGTGTAGCATCCCAGGCAATACTGTGAACGCTGCTCAAGCATCGCTTATGTGCTATGTCGTGGATAGAAGAAAGTGAACTACCAATAATATTTTCTGCTGTCCTCATTACTCTCTGCACCGCCTTCCTGTCCAAAGCTGGAATGCTTCCAAACCAGACTATAATGCAGTATGACAGAATGCTCTTGATTGTCCTTCTATAGAAAGTGGTAAGGACAGGGGAAGGAAGATGTATTTTTCTCATGTGACATAGAAAATGCAGGCGTTGCTGTGCCGCTTCACCAGTGTCTCACTGTTGAGCGAACAAGCAAGCTAGCTTACTCATTAGCTACACCACCACAAACTTGACCCATCCTCAATGTTAAGACTATTGCACCTCCCCTATGGTCACAATTGCAATTCAGATGATTTGACAACTGGCTTGCATTTACAACAGCTGCAACATCTTGTGGTCACGTGATTGCAATTTGCAACCTTCCCAGCCGGCTTCTAACAAGCAAAATCAATTGGGGAATCAGGATTTGCTGAGTGACCGCATGATTCACTTAACAGCCACATGAGTCACATAACTGCAGTGATGGGCTTGACAACCAAAGTAAAAATGATTGTAAAATCAACTTCAGTCACATAACTCACTTTAACTACTGCATAGCTTAGGAACCAAAATTACAGTCCCAAGTGGAATCATAGGTCAAGAACCACCTATATATAGATAAAATATTGCATAGTTTTAAGAAAGCATGGGCAATTAAATTTAAGCATTCACCTTTTGAAAAAAGTTTGCTTTCATACCGGTAGATAGAGGCAGTTCATGTTCTTTCTGCTATGAAACCTTGACACATGCAGATTTCCCTTCAATCCATTTTTAATTATTGTCAATGACTAGCGAGGGGAAAGGAGAATTGCATCTTTTTAATAACTAACCTGATTACGATAGTACCATATATAAGTAGTCATCAGATTACTTTTGTTGGATCCTTTTGGAAGAAGGTTAGTATTTTATCCCATTATAGGGGTGTCAAACCAGGGGTGAAATGTTCCCGGTTCAGACCGGATCGCTCCATCCGGTAGCGGCGGCGGCGGGTGGTTTGGAGAACCGGTAGCAAAAATCCCTGCACCCCCCCTCCCCATGCCCAGCTGAGCCTTGCAATCATCAGAGGCTTTTGTCAGAGGCTTTTAAAAGCATTTTTTCTGCAACCTCTTTGGCCAAAGAGGTTGTAGAAAAAAAAAATGCCTTTAAAAGCCTCTGGTGATCCCAGCTGAGTTGCCTGATCGTCAGAGGCTTCCAAAAGCATTTTTTTCTGTAACCTCTTAAAGTTGTAGAAAAAATGCTTTTAAAAGTTTTTTTTTTTTTTAAAGTTGACCATGCCCACCCAGTCACATTCCCCCCCCCACTAAGCCACGCCCACAGAACCGGTAGTAACAAATTTTAGATTTCACTCCTGTGTCAAACTATTTCATTGAAGGCTGTGTCAGGGTTGTTTGATCTCAGGGGGCCAGGTGGGCGTGGCCAGTTCAACATCACTTGGGTTGGCACCTGTGGTGGCCCAGACGGGGCTGGGGGATCTATTGTCTCCAGTGGAGGAAGGTGAGACGAGGGAGAGTGCCAAACTCTTGTCCTCCATAGGAGCCTTACCGTCTGCTGGAGACCAAGTGCTAAGGCAGGACTTCCTTCCTTCCTTCCTTCCTATCTTTTTCTTTTCTCTTCCTCTCTCTCTCTCTCCTTTCCTGTCCCTTCTTGGATGCTCAAGTGCAAAAGGGGAAACATTTCTCCTTTTGTTTTGTTTTGCTTGCCTGTGAAAACGGAGCCCAGGGAGGTTGCCCATGGGCCCCGTTTTCAGCCTGGATGGCCTCCTGCAGCACTCTGCCAGCAAAAATGGAGCCCGAGGGTCCACACGCAGCCCCCCCCAAGCTCCGTTTTCAGGGGTAGAGGGCTGTAGGAGGCCATCCAGGCCAAAAACGGGCCTGGGAAGGTCGCACGTGGCCCTCTTGAGCTCCATTTTCACTGGCAGAAGCATTGCGAGCTGGTCCTTCGCTGTTTCCAGGGCGGCCCTGTGGGCCAAATCTAAGCACCCATGGGCTGAATCCGACCCGCGGGCCTTGAGTTTGACCCCCCTGCCATAGAACATTTGGGTTTTGAGAAAAAATATGGGGCTAATATAATGGAAACCCTTTATCCAAAAGCCAATCCTGTTGAGATATATGAAGATTTTACCCAGTTATAATAAAATAATTTTAAAGAGAAGGATTGGAAAACCTTTTCTTTCTTTAGCATCTTGCAAAAAAATTAATAAAGTTTCTGATATGCTGGAGAACCACATAATCTATGCTGCTGATAAAGCTAAACTATTTAATTTTATTGAACAGTTTGTATAAAGCTGATCAGAAGTTTAAGGATACTCTGTTGAAAAAAGCTTTTTCCAGGCAACAAAGAAAGGAGCCCTACAAACTTCTTTCAAGGAGCTTTGCCTTCTTTTTCAGGCCATTTTCATGGCATTCCCATTATTTTAAAAGCAGGAAAGAATGAAATGCTTAAGAGTACTTTTATTTTCTATTTAATACACATTTTCATGGATCTAAAATAATGTTACTTCAAGTATTATTTCTTGATACACCTTTAAAGTCTAAAAGAACCCTTGAGCTGTGAGTAACTAGGTTCTATAATTCTATAATAATATGACACTTCTGAAATCTGAAGTGACTACTGTATGGCTATAGTCTTAAATTTGTTTCACACTTTATTAGGCATAGGCATTTTTTAAAAAAAATTAGGGCCACAGTAAGTAGTAGACAGCAGCAGAAGAAAAGAGGATAGAAACCCCCTTCTTTGACAGTTTTTATTTCTTTCTGATACTACTTGCTCATCCTCTGACATCTTTTTCTCTGTTCCAACTTTTAAACTTTAGAGGAAAAACACTTTCATCATTGAGATCCAAATTAACCTCTTATAGAGGACTATTAAAATTAGGCCATGAGCCATATTCAGCCTTAGAGCTGTAGGTTACTAATTTTTGTTCTATACTAATTGATATGTGTTAGTATAGAACAGGCCAGGTAACATTTCTGTGCATGTTTACTTCAACATTTATTGATTATTCACAGTAAGGCTTATATAAAGGATTGCATACCAATTTGGGGTAACTTTTTTTTTTTTTTTTTTTTTGCTGGCTTCCACTCTCCCTCCTCAAACTTTTTAGCTGGGAAAGCTAAAATTGTGTGCGTATTTATTAATCTGGAATGTGAGTTTGGCTTGATTTAATCTACAATTTATAGGCCATTTTTCAGATTAAGATCTCAGGACAATTACCTTAGGCACTGAAAAATGTTGTGGATACTGCTGAAATATATTCAAGAGTTTCTATCAAGAGTATTGCACTCTAGTAAGTTTAATTTTACAGGAAAAGCTGCCTACCTACCTAATGCGTATCTATTTTATTTAGTAAGTACATATTTAGTAAATACATATTTAGGTAAGGGTGTTATTCCAAGCCTAAAGTATGTAGATATTAAACCAAAGAAGCAGTTACTTAAGAGGAAAGAGTGAGTATATGAAAAACTAAGCTTCAAAAAATACTTTTGAATAGGTTCAGGATAGGTGGGTTTCAATGATTCAGGGTATGTGGAAGTTGGTAAAACGTAAAAACATCTTGAGTTTCCTCAGCTTACTCGTTTTTTAAAGGAAAAGGAAGTAAGTGTGAAGGAAAAGGCAAGATTTTTTTAAATGCTGAAGTTTTTCTATATTATGTAAAAGCTACAATTCAATCTTTTTGCATTTGAAACAGGCCCCTCTATACACCTTAACAATTTAGGAGACATTATCTTGGGCTTGGGATATAGCTGCATGATAAGAGGGGGAAGCAACTGAGTATAGTATTCAAAGTGGCATTTTAATAATTTTAATTATGGGTATAGGATTTTAATATTTGGTTTATTAATGACTGTGGTTATGAATTTAAGTCCCCTCTTTTTTTGGCTCCGTTTTATTTCGTTTGCTTGGTAATCAGAATCAGCGACAACCTCAAACTGTTACATCAAAGTCAAAAACTGAGAGAACAGACAAGCTTTTATGGATATGCCAAGATGCCATCTCTACAGGGTCGGTATGACGCAGAGCACAAACACGGGAGTTCAGCGAGACTTATTTGCGAGTTAACACGCTGAGAAAATGGACGGCTATATATCGATTGTCGTCCTAATATTTCGTTCGTTAAGAAGTACTGTTCAAATTAATGGGGCTTTTCGAGCAAGGCAACGTGATTCTGCTGGCTGGGGCTGCAAGTGCATTTTGCACGCGATCGATTGTAACCGGATCTGGCACACAACATCTGCAAAAATCTATTGCAGGACGAAACAAAGCGTCCGGGGAGACGGCGGCGAAGTGCCGCGTGCAACGTTTTCAAAACGAAAAAGAAAAATCGTTCTGCAAACCCTGGTTAAATCAAGAGTTGCTAATCGGGGCCAGAGCAGGCAGGATGCACGTAAAAGGTTCAGGCAATAAGAAGAGGCTTCCGACGCGGGCTGGTCTTAGCCCAATACATGGGGGGGATTTTGCAGGGATCAGATGAACTGCCAACGCTGCGACTCGCTCGAAATTTGTAGGGCCGACTCTTAGCAGTTGTTTCTGAAGCTGCGAGTGGCGTGACTAAGATTTGGGCTACTGCACCTTCTATTTTACCAGCCCACCCACCCGCCTTTACCCCCCCCCGCCTTTAATTATTCCCATGTTGTGTTTATTTCGGGCCGCGCAAATCCAGAGAACCACCAGTTGGCAACAAGGAAATAAAGAAAAGGTAGGGCCACCAGATTTGGTAACCCTGCCTTTTCTGCGGCTGATCAACTGACGTTGAGTAATTCCGGAATATCTCTTTAAAGGAGCGTCTACGAGGCTCTACCCCTTTTCCTCCACCCTCCCTGCCAGGGTCGGGCAACTGGCGAGGAGCGGCAAGGAAGACGACGCAAGGGCTGCGCGTAACGGGCCCCGCCTTGGCCAGCGCCTTTAAGAGAGAAGGGGCACGTGATCAGGTCCCGTCCCCCCCCCCCCGCTCGCTCCCCCTTTTCGTTCACACCTGCTTGTAGGAAGGGGAGGGCGTCAGCCACCGAACACAATATTAAGTGTGGGGGGGGAGAGAAAGGGAGGGGAACCAAAAGGAAACTATCGCGTGGCTTTTATTTAGTCGCGCGCATGCGAATTGAAGGCAGACCGCTGCAGGGATTTCCTCATCCAAAATGGCTGCCGCGATGGATGTTGACACTCCGAGTGGCACCAACAGCGGTGCCGGTAAAAAGCGCTTTGAAGTAAAGAAGGTGAGAAAAGGGGAAGCGGTTTGACCCGTAATGGTAATGAAGCCGAACGGACTAGAGAGGGTGTCGATTCTTCTGGGGGGGCTTCTTTAGTATATGTGAACGGGCAGATGCTTAGACTGGGCAGCATCCTTCTGGACCGAGTTTGAGAAGGGGCTGCGGGAGTGAGCCGCCAAGTGCTTGGGTGTTGCGCGGCTCCGTTCGAAAGGCGATGGGAGGAAGAGGGAGGTGAGAGGAAAGTGAGGGAGAACTTTACCGGTGGATTTAAGTACTCACTAGGCTTTTTAAAGACGGCATTTCGGTCACCAGTTCTCGGTAGTTCTTTGACTTGGGATGCTTTGGGGGGGTGGGGCGCGACGGGAAAATAAGATCTCTGACCAAGAAAATATTGGCTAAATGATACGTCAGGAAATTGGCTCTTCTGGCTCCTGTTCTAACGTCATACCAGTTGGTCTTCCTAATCTACATGTGACTGCTTGTAAATATGAACATACAGGTAGTCCTCGACTTACAACAGTTCGCTTAGTGACCGTTTGAAGTTACAACAGCACTGAAAAGAGAGTCTTATGGCCATTTTTCACACTTATGACCATTGTAGCATCCTGAGGGTCACATGATTTATATTTGGATGCTTGGCAACTGACTCACATTTATGACAGTTGGCATGTCCTGGGATCATGTGATCCCCTTTTGTGACCACCTGACAAGCAAAGTCAATGGGGAAGCCAGATTCATTTAACCGTGTGACTAATTTAACAACTCCAGTGATTCACATAACTGTTGTAAAATGGGACAAAACTTGCTTAACAAATTTCTCACTCAGCAACATAAATTTTGGGCTCAATTGTGGTCATAAGTTGAGGACTACCTGAATTAATTTTCAGTCAGTATGTGTCCTTATGACATAGACCCACAATTTAGTCCACTAGATAAGAAAGTGTTACGTCTGTGAGACTGTATAGATGATTTCTAAGGATACTTGTAGCTGTCACTGTGGTTGGCTAATTGGAGTGAAAGCTAAGAAAGACAAAAGTGCATGTAGGACCATCTCCATGGAACAATAATTTTTCTGACTTCATAATAAAAGAAAATGAAATGCTTAAAAATAAATCATAGCTAACAGAGACTGAAAGCAACTTCAGCAACATTTAGTTATATTTACTTGAAATAACAGAATTTTTCTGAATTAGTACATACTTTTGAGTTACAAAACAATCTATTTTCTAATTGGATGGCTCATTGAAGGAAAAAAATCAAATTTAATTGCTATTAAAATAATGGATGTAACTGCATTAAATTATTAAATTAAATATTACTGGTTGTAGTAATTTTAATATATGTATTGAGTGAGGTTAAGAAAAAGGTATCGGCTCAGCATTAATGATTCACTGATTATTGAGAATGGTTTTTTGTTTTTTTTATATTTCTTATATGGGTTCAAATACTCACATCTTATTTGATTTGGATTAACACTTTATATGTGTTAATATGGTAATTTGGAAACAATAGTTTGAAATTTTTGCATGTAATCCACAGTTAAATCATACGGCTTAATAGCAATAGCATTTAGACTTATATACCGCTTTACAGCGCTTTACAGCCTTCTCTAAGCGGTTTACAGACTCAGCATATTGCCCCCCAACAATTTGGATCCTCATTTTACCCACCTTGGAAGGATGGAAGGTTAAATCAACCTTGAGCCTGGTGAGATTTGAACTGCCAAATTACAGGCAGCCGACAGGCAGCAGAAGTAGCCTGCAGTACTGCACTCTAATCACTGTGCCACTGTGGCTAATATGAAATGAAAAGGCTTTTGATTTATTTTTGTTAATTAGAACAATAAAATATATCTACAATAACACTAGTGGTTGGGGAAAATCATTGGGACTGAATGAAAAGTGTTTATAACTAGATATGATTGGGTCTGTGATTTATATTGCTGTTCAGTAAACCATATTCAATAAAAAAGCTGAATTGGGTCAAGGATGACTAGGAGGAAATGGGCAAAATTGAGTTTTTTGTAGATACTTGTATACACTTAAATGTGTCTTCTTTTTGTAGTGGAATGCAGTTGCCCTTTGGGCTTGGGACATCGTTGTTGACAACTGTGCAATATGCAGAAATCATATTATGGATCTCTGTGAGTACTTGAAGAGAGAATATATGTGTTTGTGTATTGCAGGTCCTATAATTACAGATGTGCAAAGACTAATAGAAAAGTCCAGTGACATGATGAAAAAACAACTTCAAATGGAAAGTAGGGCAATAATTGCTTGCCACCATTTGTGTTAGATTCCCCATCCTACTCCCACTTGAAGTTGTATTCGTAGTTCTGGGTCTGGGTTACCAACTTTCAAATTTTCACTGAATTGCAGTTCCTTTGTAGGCTGGAGATTATGAATGTCATGACTATAAACTGGTTTTTGGCTTTTAAAGAGAAAACCTTTGAGACAAACTAGAATTTAGGCCTTTGAAGTTTGCTCTCATTATGGAATGATGAGGCAAATTAAGCCATTGTCATAATTGCTTCTGAATCTGTTTTCTGACACTAAAAACATTTGTGTAGTTTTATGCTTCTCTCCCAGGAGTGAAACAAGGGTTAATAACAGCTGGAGTGTATCTGTTGTGGGCCTTGTTATGAGGATAATCAGCCATATGCTAGAGCATGGGTGTCAAATTCGTAGCATCATGTGATGTATCACGACGTTTTTCCCCTTCATGGAGCTGGGGGGGCATGGCCTATGTGTGCCCCCATTTTACACGTGTATACTGGAGTATTCAGTCAGGGGAAACAGCAAAGAAAATCACTGTTGAATCTGTTGCGTTAGGTAACTATTTAGAAGAGCTTTGTGGAGTGACATAAAGCCTTCTCTTAATTTACTGAAAATACTGCTATAATGAATTTCCTAAATTCTGTCAAGATAGCAATTTAATGCAGATTCTATTCAAGCATGTCTTGCTGTATGTTTTCCATCTCTGTGTGATCAATGTTTCCTTCCCTGCTTCAGAATATTGACAAGATTCTTGAAAAAATATACCCAAATACCTATGTTTTCAATTGTTGCAGGTAATATGACATGAAAAAGCTAGCTGAAAGAATGGCTGGATGCATTGAGGATTTGTTATTGTATCATCAGTCCAGACATTTATCTATTTTAAATGGTCATATATTGTATTTTCACTGCAGGAATACATACCTTATCTGGCAATGCTTGTAGATTTACTGAAGGAGCATATCTTGGGGTCCAACACCATTCTTTGGGCTGATACATCATCTACGTTTTCCTTAGGGACAGCCCTAGTACACTCGTGCTAATCTCAGATTTGTAATACTGCTATATATTCTGTACATCTTCCTTAAAGAGTAATCCAGAGGCGAAAGTTAGTGCAAGATACCACAAATATATTACAACTAAGCTAAATGCATTATACTGTCTGCCATTTGGCTGCTGCGCCATTTTTAAAATAGTGGTGTTAAATGTTAATGCAAAACTGTCTATATCCATATAGCCATCATTTTTATACTTAGGAAGAGATATCCAGCTTACCAGGGTTGCAGATCAGAACTCACCAGTGATGCATATAAAGATGTGAATGTTCCAGAATTTTGAAATAAGAATAGAAAACAAGCTGTTCTTCTAGGTGAAAGACAGAAATTTAGGAGAAAATGGAAAGATAGATAATTTTTAAGGGTTTGACAGATTATATCAATTTGGTTTGCTTATGAAACTATGAACAGAAAAATGAAAAAGTTTATTCAGTCAGTAATTATAAATATATTGATGTTTACTTAAAACGCTTAATTTCTGTCAAACCAAAGAATAAGCTTCTAAAATCTAACAAATATAGCATCTCTTCATTTTCACTTTTGACTATAGCTGCTTCTAATGTTGAAAACAGAAGAAACCATCTGCAGTACAGTATATTGTTCTGAACCGCCCTGAGTCTACGGAGATAGGGCAGCATACAAATCACATTAAATAAAAAATAAATAAATAAATAAATAAATAAATAAATAAATAAATAAATAAATAAATAAATAAATAAATAATAGTAAAATAAAATTTGAAATTGACACAGAAAACAGAAAAAATGAGAAAGGGGAAAAACATGATCCTGAATATACATATTGCCACATGAAGCAGTATTGTGAGGATATTTTTGTGCGTCTAACTGTATTAATATAGATATACAGTGAAAACTATAGCTGTGTATGTTTGTTTCAAATCTATCCTTTGGTGTTAAAATGACCATCCATCCATATATTAAGTATATTCAACCAAATAACAAATGAAATTAAACCATTCTGCAACCGTATTGCAAATGTACATTTGTATATATTCATTCTAGAAAGAAAGAGGGACACATGATAAATCCTACCTTTGCTGGTATGACCCTGATCACTTCCTTTGAGAAAGGATAGATTAAAAAGGTTCTTCATTTTAGGTTAGAAAAATCCTGGTGCATTATATTTAGGTATCTAAAATCTGATTTTATAGTTTTTAGGAAATAGCTAGTTGAAAGTTATACATATACTCATGCATACATGAAGCCCCGGGTATGGCACATTACAGCCATCTTAACTTTTTGATATAATCTACTGTGTCATTGTTCTGAAACACCTACATACAACTGGGTAGTGGAAATGGTATGAATAACATGGTTTATTATACTGTATAACTGGACTCTAGAATTTGGTTGCGAAATTTTCATCTTCCTAAAATATTGCTACAAGATGCTATAAGTTTCTATTGCTTTAAAATTTACAATAATTGCTGAGAAAAATCATATAGTAATTTGGAATTAAATTGCTTCTAATGAAATCTAGCTCTCTTCCTCTTTTTCAGCTTAACTAGTTCCCTAAATTGATGGTTGCTTGATAAAGGCTAGGAAATTGAAGCTACATGTGTAAAATAAAATTCACATTCAATGCAGCTATTGTATTATAAATATTGTAGCCTGTTTTTAATAGCATTTGATTGTCCATCAGAATCATGGATTCAGAATGTAGTTAAATTGAACTCTGCTTCTGAAAACCCATATGCAATCCTTAATTTTCTGCCAAAAGCAGTTCATATACTTCCTATTTTGGTGAACAGAATTTGCCAAAAATAAACTGATAATCCCAATTTGCCTTAAGCACCATTTCTTAATTTTGAGATTTGGAATAAATCAAATTCAAAATTCAAATGAATAATAAATTTCCTTTGCCATTTGAAAGAAAAAAATCCCATGGAGTCTGAACTATTGTTGTTATTCCTCTTGATTTGTTTTCTTTTTACTTGTTATTTTAGCTGTTTTTAATGTCTTGATGTTAAATTTATTGTAAACTCTTCAAAGAGATTTCAGTAGCAAGTATACCTCATTAAATAAATAAATTGAATTCATTTAAGTTACTTTAGCTAAATGTAGATTGAGACATAATGATGCCAGTATTTTTACTAATTTTCCTTTTCTGTTACATTGCAAATTATTATTTGAATACAGTGTTTGAAGGCTTTTAGGGCTGCACTCAGGTTTTGGAGAGCTATCAGTTACACATCCATGAAGTATATTCTAGTAGAAGGCATATTTTTATGCCCAACCCCTCTTTTTTTCTCTCTCTCTCTTTTTTTATTTGGCTTTAAGACTCATTCCAGTCATGGATGAACAAATTTGTCCATGTCAGTATGATTATGAGAATTGGTGTTGCTTGCTATGCTTGGTCTGTTGGCTTCTATAGCTTCTTATGATGTAATGAAAATAAAAAATGGAGAAATAGTTGATTATGTCATATTGAGCCTTCTTCGTTATTCATACAATATAGGTGTCTCGTTTCTCCAGTCCCACTTTTAGCAGAGAACATACTTGTCATCACAGGTTCTTGTTTCATCTACTCAAATAAGTAGTTATGAATCATAACATTAATGTTGTTCTTGTTCTTGCAGGTATAGAATGCCAAGCTAACCAAGCATCAGCTACCTCGGAAGAATGCACTGTTGCATGGGGTGTTTGTAATGTAAGGAATCTATTTTATGCCGTTTAAATATATTTTTTATTCCAGTAGCAATAAGAATTACTAATAATTTCCAGTAATAAATAAGCTAGAAGTCTTAAGAAGCAAAATATTTAGAACCTGCTTCCAAATTTGGGGGAATGCAGTGAACCTAATAGCATTCTCATTTCTAAAACTGAAATTTGTTTATGCTATTGTATTTGGTTGAAACTGTTTTATTTATTAATTATTTTTTTATGCTGCCCATCTCACTGATACAGCAACTCTGGGCAACTTACAATATAATAAAAAGATAAAAAAGATAATATAAAGCAATTAAAATTAAAAGGCTTAAATAGAAAGCTAAAAACTGAAAGGATGGGTAACATAGAGAGTGGAGACCTTCTCTATACATCAGGCTTTGCCTTGCAATTCCTGGTGATAATTTTTACCCAGAATATGCTGCTGATCTCATCATCCTCTGAAGTAATTCTACAAAGTAAAAATAGAAATAAAACAGTTTACAACATGCTGTTTTCATAACTTTCCCTCCTTTTTTTTTTTTAGCACGCTTTCCATTTTCATTGCATTTCCCGCTGGCTTAAGACTCGGCAGGTATGCCCATTAGATAATCGAGAATGGGAGTTTCAGAAGTAAGTATCATATACTTGCCTAAATAAGGGAAATTCAGTTAACCATAGCATATGCATAATTTCATCTAGGTGTTTTGATTATAGGTAGAGTTTACATTAAGAGTGTTTTGGCAAGCTGAAATTGGCACTTCCATCTGCTTTAAAGGGATGTAGATGAAGTACAACATTACTACATCTGCTTAAAGGAAAGTACATGAGCATGTATGAATTAACCCTTTAGGCAGCAGAGAAAAGTGTCATTGATAAAAGTATAGTATATACTTGTATACAGTATGCAGACTTATATTCAAGATTGCACATATATTTCATTATATAAGTAGAATGATTGTGTACAAGTCCCCAGGGCATTAAGAATCCCCTGATGTAAAAATAATCCACAGTTATGAACGGAGCCTATTGCAGCAAAATTTGAGTTAAATATACATTGATTCAAGTTGAATACATAATGGTTCAAGTTCATTATTCAATATTACTTGTACAATTATATTGTTCCAGTTTACATAAAAATTTGACTTAAAGGTAGACCTTGGGAAGAGTAGACCTTAAAATGGGGACTATGTACTCAGGACTAAATGTCTTTGGAAATAAAGGTAGTTAATCTGATATCTGTTAAAATACCAATAACAGTATAAAATATATTTGTAAACTTGATTTGATAGATACAGATTTGCAACAGAAGAATGGAGCAGATTTGCAATTACATTAATAATAGTTTATGGCCAAATAACTGTTAAATCTAATAATTTATCAGTGTTTTTTTATTGTAATAAGCAGCGATAAAATCTCTATATCATGGAGAGATTTCTGTTGACCTTAATTAATATATAAGAATCAATAAGATTGCAGCATCATAAACAAAAGCCTCAATAATAGAATTTCAGAGCAAAGAAATAATATTGCTTAAGATTCACAGAAATTTTCAACATTCTATGTCATGTAATGTAAAGTGTGCAACACATTTCAGATCAAGTGTGCCCAACAGTTACATATGGTATAAGCATGATGTAATGTTTCATTCATTTTTAAATGGCAGAATTGCCAGCTTGTGCAAACCAGCAGTTAACAAGCAGTGCACTGATGTAGGAGTTATTTAGTATGATTTCCTAATTTGCAGGTGCTATCCCTTAAATCAGGAAAATGCAACCTAGTTTGCTCTAGATCAGCGATGGTGAAGCTTTTTTCCCTCAGGTGCCGAAAGTGCATATGCGTCCAGACACCCATAATGCAATGCCCCCCCCGCAGACCCTGTCCCCGTGCATGCACGCGCTCCCCCCACCCCCCCTCAGGCATGCGCACACAGCCCCTGTTTTGGTGCTAGCAGGCCTCCATGAAGCCCCCTGGAACCAAAAACGGGAGCCCCCCTCCCTCATTTTGGTGCTAGCAGGCCGCCCTGAAGCCTCTTGGAACCAAAAATGGGGTCCGGGGGGGAACATCTCACCCACCCCCACACATGCACAAATCTCCCAGCAGAGGCCTGAAAATCAGCTGGCTGACAGGAGGTGCGCGGGCATGCACAGTGGAGCTGACCTGGGCAGCGGCTCGCATGCTCACAGAGATGGCTCCGTATGCCACCTGTGGCACACATGCCATTGGTTTGCCATCACAGCTCTAGATATTTTCAACTCCCTCATATCTGTCTCTTTAAACATGACCAAGAACAAACTTTTGTGATTTTGGCATTCAAAACTTCTGTAGGATACCAGATTTTCTGCAAGTCAGGACTCTTTCAAATTAAGATCAGCTTCTGGTGATTTCATGGAAATATTTATGTAGTTTTTTTACCAAACAGAAGTGATTTACTAACACTTTCTTCCAGTATGTTTTTTAAAACCAATTTAGCTAACTTTCCTGTATTTCCTATTAGTCTCCCATCCAAGTACTAATCATGTATATAGCACAGGCCAAGTTATTTGCAGGACCATCTCTCCCTGAGAATATGTATCTGCTCATCCCACTTTGTTAGAGTGGGTGCACTCCAGGTTCTCTTCGCTTAAATGTTGTCATCTGATGGGACTTCAGAAGCATGATTTTTTCATAGCTGCCCCAGCCCTTTAGAATAGTCTCCCACCTGAGATCTGAGGGATCCTTATCCTTTTAACCTTCTGGTAGTCCATGAGGTTTTCCCTCACGCTAGGATGGGAGTTTTGTTGGGAAGCTGTTTAGCCTGGTGCCCGAGAGAAGGGTATTTTGTAGATTAGAAAAATGATTGTATTCTGACATAATTGCTACTTTGTCCTAAAAGGAAAATCCTTTTTATTTTCTAGGTATGGACATTAGCAGGAGAGCCAAGATCCCCAAGTTTATTCTGTCTTAACTTAAGCCTTCCACAGTGCAAGTGGGCTGACTCTGTTATACCATTTTTGTTTTTTCTTAATGCAGTCATTGTGAGTAATAAATCTTTTTGGTCTCCTGTTTGAGTTGCTTCTTGAATTCTCATAACTTTAATTATTTTAAAGTAGACCTGAATTCCTTGCAATTACATATTCTGAATAATTATTTACACATAATCCATAATTGTGCATACAATTGACTAATGCAACCTATAAAAAGCGTATGGTCAGAAATGTCCCTTGAGTAAACAAATGCAGCTGTCATCAAATCATAACATTTAAAACTTTTAGAGATCAGCAATAAGAAGCCATTTCTTCTCAATTTCTCACAAAAGGTAAGAATGTTAGAACATCTTTCATAGTCTACAGCAGCAAAATCTATGCTAAATTATGTACATCATTCCTATGTGGAATTAGAGAAGTCCAGTAATGTTTCTAAATTATGATAAAGTGCTTGTGTAAGAAGCAAAGAAAACCTGGTAATTTCAATAAGCCATGAGCAATTCATCTTGAATCTGATTGTGTGTTTTTCTGATTTCAGAAATAAATCCAGATTTATAACAGTAATATTCATACTACCAAAAGGATATTAAACTGATTAGAAGTTCATATTTTTCACAAATTCTTAATACCTGTACAAATGCATATATTTCAACTATAGCCTGACTATAGGAATTTCTAAATCGGCTGAATAAGTAAGTAGTATAGTGACATCTCACAGAATGGTGAATATAAAATATTTTAATTATTCTGATCCATAGGATTATCCAGATTGTGGTGCAGAGCAAAATGTTTGCAGGGCAGAAATTTTAGTAACATTATTTCCACTTATCTCATATAGATAGTCCTCATCTTATGACCATAATTGAGCCCAAAATTTCTGTTGTTAAATGAAATATTTGTTAAGTGAGTTTTACCACATTTTGAGACCTTTCTTGCCACGATTGTTAAATGAATGACTGCAGTTGATGAGTTAGTAACCCGGTTGTTAAGTGAATCTGGCTTCCCTACTGACTTTGCTTGTGAGAAGGTCACATGATCATGGCACACACAAACCATCATAAATATAAACCAGTTGCCAAACATCTGAATTTTGATTACGCAATACTGGGAATGCTGCAAAGGTCATAACTCTGAAAAACAGTATAAGTCACATTTTTCAGTGTCTTTATAACTTTGAATAGTCACTAAACTAGCTGTTGTAAGTAGAGGACTACCTGTATATGAAGAGAGTAAGAGGGCATTCAAAAGCTTCTAAATACGTTTTAAAGGCATATTTTATACAAATTGGTATAATTGAATCTTAAATGTTTATGCGTCCCTAATAAAAATAGTTTCATTCCACAATTGAGGGTTTTTTTGGGGGGGAGGGGTGAATCCAAAAGGAACAAAATCCAGTCCTTATACTTTTGGTTCTTCCAGTATCAGTCTTATGCACAACATCTTTTCTCCGGGTCTTCCTTAGTCTTTGATTAAGCTGTTGTTTTATTGGTTGTTCCTGCTAACACCAAATGACCTATGAATTATCCAGTAAGTAGTGATTTAGAATGCCTCAATCTTTTCTGTTATTTATCTGAAACTCAGATCACAAACATATTTTGTCATAGTATCAAGTAATGCTAAGCATAAATTAACAGGAAGTATGCAGTATAACTTTTTCTAGGAAAAATTCAGAAAATATAGACAAAGGGTCTAGATCACAGGTGTCAAACTCACGGCATCAGGTTGCCATCACATGACGTATCGAAGTTTTTCCCCTTTGCGGAGCTGGGGTGGATGTGGCATGTGCGTGACGCATCCAGCCCGCAGGCCACCAGTTTGATAGCCCTGGTTTACATAGTTCTTTTTAAAAGGACACATTCTGTAGCTGGTGCCACATTAAAAATACCCTCTTGTTAATATTCATGCAAATGAACTGGATATCTAAAATTGTGAGGCTTGAATGGGTAGCTATGGTAGAGGAAGACCTGTGAGGTAAGCTGATCCCAGGTTTTAAATACAAGTAGAAGCATTTTAAATTGAGTCTACAAATAGATTGGAGTCCTATAAATTAGTGAAATACTACAATAATGTTCAAGCTTTGTTTTTAACAAGCTGCAATTTATGAACTATTTTTAAAGACAATTCAGAGCACATCTTGTAATAGTTTAAATGGGAGATTATTAGAGTCACAAATATATTAGGCTCTAATTATGTTACATTCAAAAGGATGTGAAATCCTTAGTGCTTCCTGAGCTTGCTTGTAGATGTTTCATTACCCAAATAAGTAACTATTGATTTATTTATTTGATTTGATTTGATTTTTATACCACCCTTCTCCAGCAGGACTCAAGGTGGTGAAGATAAAACATAGCATACAAAATTTAAAACAATTTAAAAAGATATTAAATAATTTCGGCCCACAATTTAAAAACACCCCAATAAAATCAATTACAAATTAAAACCGAAAGATGGGATCAAACCAGCCCGGCTAGATTAAGTAAGTGAGTTTTAAGGGCCTGACGAAAAGTCCGGAGGTCCGGGATCATACGTATCTTTGGGGTTAGGTCGTTCCAGAGGGCGGGTGCCGCCACAGAAGGGTCTCCCTCTGGGGGTCGCCAGCCGACATTGTCTGGCCGACGGCACCCTGAGGAGCCCCTCTCTGTGCGAGCGTACTGGCCGGTGGGAGGCTATTGGCGGCAGAAGGCGGTCTCGTAGATACCCAGGCCCTAAGCCATGGAGCGCTTTAAAGGTAGTCACCAACACCTTGAAACACACCCGGAAGACCACTGGAAGCCAGTGCAGCTCACGCAGGAGGGGTGTCACATGGGAGCGCCCTATTGCTCCCATAATCCCCCGCGCGGCTGCATTCTGGACCAGTTGGAGCCTCCGGGTGCACCTCAAGGGGAGCCCCATGTAGAGAGCATTGCAGTAGTCCAGGTGGGACATCACCAGTGCTAGTGAGTGTGGGATTTACTCCCTGTTCATATACGGTATCTTACCCTGCCAGTGTTGGTTAGGGTGATGATGATTCGGCGAAGAGGTTGTAAAAAAATGCTTTCAAAAGGCTCTGACAATCCCAGCTGAGTTGCCTGATCATCAGAGGCTTTTTTTTTCTTTTAAATGCCTTTGCCGATCAGGCAACTCAGCTTGGATCGTCAGAGGTTTTTAAAAGAAAAAAAGCCTCTGACGATTAGGCAACTCAGCTTGGATCGTCAAGCACCATCTTGGACCGTCAGCTTGGATTGTCAAACTCAGCTTGACGATCCAAGCTGAGTTGCCTGATTGGCAGAGGCTTTTTTAAAAAGCCTCTGCTGATCAGGCAACCCAGCTTGGATTGTCAGAGGCATTTAAAAGAAAAAAAGCCTCTGATGATTGCGCGGCTCAGCTGGGCATTGGGGGGGGCAGGGATTTTTGCTACCGGTTCTCCGAACCACCTGCCTCCATCGCTACCAGATCAGGCGATCCGGTCCGAACCGGGAGCATTTCACCCCTGCTCTGTGTCTGCTGAGGGCTGATTAATCTGAATGTCAAGTTTCTAGCCTTTTTGGATTTGGCATGGTATAGGATGCTTTCAGTTTATTAGCTGAAATTGTGGTTGAGTCTATATGTTATGAGATTAAGAAGATTTCATTGTTTCTTCTTACTGTTGGTTGGTATTCATGGATGTGCTTTGCTAGTCTTCTGCCTATTTGTCCTACCGGGCAGCTGTTACGGTCCTTACACTGCACAGTATCTTGTAGATGACTCCCGTTTTTTGTTCTTGGGCTTCTGAGTCTTGGTTTATTTAAGATGTTTTGGAGATCTTTAATTGGTTTGTGCACTATGGTGAAGCTGCATGGTTGTAGTAGTCTGCTGATTGTTTCTGAGATGTTTTTGATGTATCCCAGTGGTGCCATTTTCATAGCTTTTGCTGGTTGTACTTGTAGTGAGTTGTGATCAGGCACTTTTTGATCAAGTTAAACCTGTCTTTCTCATACTGTACTAACTTTCAGGTATGGGACAGAATTCTTGAGGGTTTTTTAAAAAATTAAGTTGTAAATGGCAACAACCAATCACATTAAGACACTGGCTAAGCTTGACTCATCACTTTAAAATTTTTCATTCACAAAACTGTTTCCTGTGTCCTAATATAATCAATAACTGATCATTTTCCATAAAATTAAATCAATTTTATGAATACATTATTCGCCTGCACAGTCTAACATTTGCAGTACATAATAGAAGGTGCATTTGTGGGGTTAGGGTGGGGTGGAATTATTGCAATCGAAGATCCCTTCATAGGATCTCCACCCTCTTAATCTCTATACTTCATTCCTGGGGTGTTTAAGTTCAGTAATAACTAAGTGATAAAGCTCCACCTAGCCAGGTAGTTTTTGTTTAGAAATGAAATATGCCTCATCTGGAATTTGGATGGAGTGCAACAGCAGATTCCCCAGTTTGATGAAGCATAAACATAACTGGCTTAGACTTTTTTGGAGTGTTTGATTATTGCTAAAGCAAATGTAACAATGGGGTAACAAAAATGAAATGTTTTTATTTTATTAAAAAATAAACTACGTAAGGCATAGATATGTAGACCAAAACTAATAAACAAGCAGTTGTAAACAGATATAAAAGTAAAAATACCTACAGCTGAGCAAAATAGCATCAAAAAGAAATAAAATAACCCTGACATTTTTTCTGTCCCCTTTATCTTATCGGTTCCATTTCTGTCATGGCTTTTAAAAGCCTGTATCTTAGGTCCAATAAGGAAAAATGTGTTTACACATCCTTTGAGACATGCCACATACTTTGAATTGCTTTCAATAATTTAATAAAACACCTGTTAAAAATACTATAAAACATAAAGTGCAGTAAAGAAACAATACCAACCATCTTTTCAATAATATTTGTTTGTACTTCTATTTACTATTGATATTATTACTTGTGTCTCACTTTGAAATATGGTTATCATAAAAAGTGAGGGAAATAATTGTAATAAAAGAATAGATTTTAAAACTGTTTGCTAAAAAACCCCATCTGTTTTGTGTAGAATTAAATGGTTAACTAATCCAACAAAAACATTAAATATAAATGGATTGAATAATATCACTGTTTCCCAT